ATAGGGACCTGGACATGGGGGGTCGCTTCGACCTTCGTTCAGACCGTGCCCCCTCGTCCTTCCCCTGTTGTGGTTCATTGTGGTCCCCCTACCCCGTGCTTAAGGCCCAGAAAAATCTGAGGGTTTCAGAGTTGGAGCAGGGTTTAGATGGTCTTGAGACTCGGGTGGTCTCGGGGGATGCCCCTTCTGGTGTAGCGACGGGGGAGGCATTCGAGTCCGGTCTTCCTGCCGAAGCCTCTGGGTCTGGCCAGTGGGCCCCCTTCTGTCCAGCTTACTCGGCCATGCCGGCCTTCAAGAGCTGTTCCAGGCTGGCTTTCGGAGAATGTGGAGGCGTTAAGTGGGGAGGCCTTCGGCAGGGGTTTTGGTTTCGGCTGCCGAGGCGTAGGCTGCCCTGCTGTTGCGCTGATCCTTCGAGAGACGGTGTCTATATTTTTTACCTCTCAACTAACGTTTCTGCAAGCCATCCTCACTATCTCTAGATTCAGCTTAGGCCCTGGCTTTGCAGTTTTCGTCTCTGTTCTGTCCCCTGCTCTTTCCGGAGGACTGTGTTGCTCAGTTTCTGTTGGCAGCTTCTACAAGTTACCGCGTTATTTCATTTTTGTTGGTGCTCAGGACTGGGTGTTCTCACTCCTCCCGGGGTAGTCATGCCAGTGCTCGGATTTCTGTAGGTCAAGTTGGGCCTTTGGTGCCAGTTTCGGAGCCGGTATGTCCTCCAGGGCCTTCTTCGTCTGGTCAGTGTGGTGGTTGCTCTGTGCGGAAGTCAGCTTCTCGGAGTTGTGTTGGCCCTTTCGAAGATTGCCCCATTGATGGGGTGATGAGGGGAGGCTGGCTCTGTTTGCCCACGCTTGGTCCCACGATTTGTGGGCTTTTTGCATCGTCTCTTCCGGTCTTTAGTGGCATTGTGTGACTCCTCCTGTTGGGGGTTCAGGGCTGGCAGGGCAGACTTCTTTCCTGTCTCTCTGTTGGATCATCTTGGATAGGACTCGCATGGGCGTGGTCAAAACGACTTCGTCCCTCAAGGGGGTTTCTTGCTTGTTTTCTGCTCTAAAACAAGACTGTGCGCATCTTCGGTTAATTCTGGACTTGTCCCGTCTGAACTGTTGGATTCCTTGCCCATTCTTTTAGATGACTACGTTGTCCCAGGTCCAGCTTCTCAACCCGGGCGCTTGGATGATTTATTTCTCTGGACCGCGAGAACACCTATTGGCACATTCCTATTCATCCAGGATTCAGGGATTGGTTAGGTTTCGTGGTTGGGTATCAGGCTCACTGCTTTCGTTCCCTTCCGTTCTGTCTGAATCTGGCACCTCGCGTATATACGCGTTTAACCAGGGCCCGTCTTCGTCTGCTAGTTGTTAGAGTTCTGGCCTACCTCCAGTTGGTATAAGCTCCCATCCAGTCTGCATGTCTGCTCACCAGGGAAGTGGTTCTTTCCAAGCTTGCCAGGTTCAGGTTCCTGGTGAATTGGCAGAAGTCCCATCTGGTTTCGTCCCAGGTTCAGACTTGGCTGGGCCTCATGTGCGATTTTTGGACTGCATCCATTTGTCTGCCTCCTGGGGCTTTGTTCTGGCTACAAAGTTTTGATCCCCTTGTATTTGAAGGAAACCTGGGTCACTGGGCGGTTGCTCGAGCAGTTGTGCAGGAGACTGAACTGTGCCTTGCTGGTTTTCCCGCTGGGTAGGGTTTGGCTTTAAAGGCCTTTCTGGTATCTTCGGGGCAGTCCCTTTCACTGCTCTCACGATCACTGAGTTCGGCCTCCTGGGTCCTTGCACCGGTTGCAGTATCTCCGGCTTCCTCTTTGGGTTTTTCAGGGTTCAGTACCATAGCATTTTCCCCTTTCCCTTGCACGGATGTCTCGTCTCTTGGCTGGGGTTTTGTAATCACCGCTCACCAGGCCTACCAGGGGCATTGAATTTCGTTTTTCCGTTGGGCTCACAGCATAGTGCGGGAGTTTGCAGCAGTGTGGCAGGCGTTGCGGCAACAAATTCGGTTGCCTCAGGGGGGTCTCTGTGATTCGGCTCCATTTGGACTGCTTCCCTTTGGTTCATTGTCTCAACCCTTGGGCCTCTGCAGTTCGTGGCTCTTTGGGGCTGGTCGCTTCAGGTAGTTCTTCTACTGAGTTCTTGGGGTAATTTTCATTTGTGGAGTTCTGTCCACTAGTTCGGCTTTCAGTAGTAATTTCATAACCAGAATAGGGGGGTTTGTTTTGGGGTGCTTACCTTTCTGGGTGCCTGACCCAGACCTTCAGACATAGAATGCTTCCAACCACTTGGGGGTTTCTATAGGCCATAGCTCCTCGTGCCTCTCTGAGGGGGCCAGGTTCTGGCTCGTGGTCCCTGGAAGACCTAGAACTCCAGTCACATTGATGCCAAAGTCTAATATATCCATATCAGCCTGGATATCCTATATGGATATGGGCTCCGGGGAGCCTCCGGGTCTCACCCATAAAATGGGGTTTCATTACATTCAACGCTGGTTTTTTCTGGGGGGAGCCCCGTCGTTCCCTGGAGCTATCCAGGCTGAATGGATATGTATAACTTTCTGGCATCAGTCAAAGTACAAGGAGTTCTTGCCTACCGGGGACCACGAGCCAGAACCTGGCCCCTCAGAGAGGCACGAGGAGCAATGGCCTATAGAAACCTCCTTGTGACTGGGAGTATTCTATGTCTGCCATCGACCGGGACAGGCACCCAGAAAGGTAAAGGTAGGCGCCCCAAAACAAACCCCTATTCTGGTGAAATTATTGCTACCGAAAGCCGAACGAGTGGACAGAACTCTCCAAACAAAATTATCAAACTAGCATGACGTCATCACGTCGCTGCGCCACTGTCTGCGCAACCCCCCTCCCCGAGAGGGGGAAGGGGGAGCCCCAGACCCTCCACGCCGGCGATCCAACTGGTAGTTCTTGGCTGATGGTATTACTGGCTGGTCGAGTGCCTCTGGCTCCGGTTTTTGTTTCAGTTCTGTGCCTTATGGTGTGGACTGTCTCTACCGGTGGGGTGTGAGCCAAGAGTAAGATTCCACGGTACTCGGGCTGCATGTGCCTAGGGCTATCTTCCCTAGGTGCCCTGTAAGTACTGCCCTTGGGGCTTGGGGCCACCTTCCACAAGTCGCCTTGGGTTTTACCTCCGCTGTGTCCTTTACTGCTCGGTACTGGGCCACCCTTGGAGTCGGCTGGGATTTTGTTGCCCTGGTTTGTCTCTGGGTAGGTGGTAGTTTTCGTCACTGGTAGGTGCGCGGGGTACTGCACAGCTAGTTTTCACCATTAACAGCGGCCGGCTCTGTTCCACCTGGGTACGTTGTCCTCTTGCGGGGTTTTTCTTTTGTTTTTGTTTTTGCCTGGTGGGGGGTCTGCCTTTACTATGGTCCCCTTCCCGGCCGCTCCTTGGGCCGTATTCGTGGTTTTCCTTACCTATTTCCGTTTTTCCTCCCCCATGCTACACTTTTTGTGTATCTGGGTCAGTGCTTCTTGATTATCCTGTTTGGTGATCCGGTGGGCCTCTGTCCATGTTCCGCGTCCTGCTTTTGGACTTCTCCGGTGTTCCGTTTTGGTACCGAGTTCCTGCGATTTCTGTGTGGTTTTCTGCAGGCTTCAGGTTGCTCTGTCTGTGGGGAGGGGTGTGGACTTTTCGGTCTGCCGCTCCTGCCTTCCTGGTTCCTTTTCTTGGAACCGGGTTTGCTGGGTTCCGGTCCTGGTTTCGGTTTTTCTTTGTTCCTTTTCCGGACCGGGTGTGTTTGCTTTCCTGCAGTTCTCGTCCTGGGTAGTTCTCCTCTGGGATGCCTCTGGGACGCGTGCCTCATTCTTCCCTGCTGGAGCTGGTTATGTTGCTCCTTTGGGTTGCGGGGTCGCTGTTTTTAGATCCGCGTTTTGCGTTTTCGATCGTGGTGTTCGTTTCCCGTCGTTTGTGTCTGCATAGGTGGGTTCGTTATTGGTCTCCCACCTGCGTGTTTCGTCTCGGGGCGGGGTGAGGTTTTCCTATCACTGCGAAGGGTCCTTCGGTCTTTGATAGGGTTGGCTTGTCTTCCCTTCGGGGTTGTTCTGGGACCGTCGTCTGGGGTTGTCCTGTCACCTCATGTTGGTTGGTGCTGGCAGTGCCGCTCCTGCTTGCGTTCAGTGTTGCGGTTCCTTCTGCTCCATTCCACTTGCTGTCCTGGGCGTTGTTTCCCTCTGGCCTGCTCTTGAGTTTTGGTGCCGTCCTGGTCGTTGGCCTGGGTGGTCTTTTTCTTCTCGTTTTGGTCTTTGTTTTGTCTCTGGTTTTGGTTGTTCAGTTAGGACGTGTGGTATCCACCTCCCGTTTCCTTCCCTGTTTGACTTATCTGTGGTGAGGTAGCTCCGGGAAGCCGACGGGGCTCCCCCCAGAAAACCAGCGTTGAATGTAATGAAACGCCATTTTTTGGGCGAGTCCCGGAGGCTCCCTGGCATCCCTCCCTCCCTCTGGGCGGCAGCGTTTTTCGCGTTTGTTGACATCCAGCCTAAGAACTGCCAGTTGGATCGCCGGCGTGGAGGGTCTGGCTTTCGGTTGCAATAATTCCACCAGAATAGGGGTTTGTTTTGGGGCGCCTACCTTTCTGGGTGCCTGTCCCGGTCGATGGCAGACTTAGAATGCTCCCAATCACAAGGGGGTTTCTATAGGCCATTGCTCCTCGTGCCTCTCTGAGGGGGGCCAGGTTCTGGCTCGTGGTCCCCGGTAGGCAAGAACTCCTAGCACTTTGATGCCAGAAAGTTATACATATCCATTCAGGCTGGATAGCTCCGGGGAGCCTCCGGGACTCACCCAGAAAATGGCGTTTCATTACATTCAACGCTGGTTTTTTTACCAATATCTATTTCCCTCATCTGGAAAAAGACTTTTCTCCTCAGTATTTTGTATGGTGTATCTGCTCTTGTTTGTATCTCTTTTTAGAGTTGCTGGATTAGAAGAGAGAAGGACCAGAGCAGATGTGTGTGTGTATATGTATGGAGTGATCAAGCTGTTAATATTTTGTTTCATTTACCCCAGGTACTGAATGACTTAGGGTTAGAATATAACAGTGAATTGGATGAAGAAGGTTGGCACACAGTGGGTATGGAAGAAGTTGTTGCAGAGATTGGTATTCTTGGTGGAGAAGAGAAAAGACTTTACCTTACTACTGTAATGACCACCCGATGATTCTATATGCTTTGTAATGGCTCTAATGTGGGTGAAAATATCAGTATAAATTGAATAATAAAAATATTGTTTTTAAGGATTGTTTATGCTAATAAACCTTATATTCCTATAAATATATTTGTCACATGCAAATATTTCTATTGCTAATAGACATGTCACAACTAATTGGAGCTAGCAGCAAGTAGTTACATGAGTAACAGTAGTAACTGTTGTGGGTTGCAACCTGTGGAAAGTCAATTATTGACTTAGGGAGACCTCAATGATCCTAACATGATTTCTGTCCCAGACAATAAGGAACCCATTCATATTATTACTGTAATAACTTTTACTCTATATTTCCCAGCTTGGTGCCTTCTTTTAATACAATAATTACTTTTATTCTATATCTCAAACACTTTCCATTAACCCTTTAACTGTGCAACGCGCCTGCAGGCCCATGTCTGGGGTGCACTACGTGCCTCCAGGTATTTGTATTTTTCACATTCCATTTAAAACTCCCGCAGTTACATGGGGTTCACATCAGCTTCCTCAGGGCTCTTGTAAGCAGACGCCATCTTTAAAAAAAATCATGGTCCACATTCCCGGGTGTGAGAGCTTCAATAGTGAGTGAGCAACCAAGGCTGGCGCTCTCAGCATGAGTGTACAGCACTGCTGTTCAACGTGTGACCACAGCATTGCCTAATAATGTCAAAATATATATATAACCTGTATAAAATTATTTAGCCATGATAGTATTATAGAAAAGCCTGAGTGTGATAATGACTGGGTACAATGTTCAAATATCAGTGATTCAATGTTGTTCACGATGTTCACAGCACTAGGCACAGCACCACAGCATTATTTCGTCCATCTAGGAATCTTCAAACGACTTCTTAGGTTCCTTTTCAAAATAAACTTGTGGTCAATTATTCATTTAGAGGAATTAGTGACCAGGATTGTGGTTATAATTAGCGTTGTGCATAGTATTGTGGAAGGAGGAATTTTGGTGAGGGAGGGAAGACGGGAGAGAATTGAGGTAGCCTCACTGTGTGGCAGCCACTCTTGTTTTGCTCACCATACTAGCTTCGTGGTTCTCTTTGGGGAACACATATGTACATGAGTATATACAGTGTGTGTGTGTGTGTATAGTGTAATAACAGCAACAGGAGTATGTTGAGTTGAGCTATTTTGATGAGGGAGGTGACGTAATCGTAGCGTCGTCTGCTGTCTGCTGTGTGATTTCTCATGCAGTGTATGGTGGCCACTGTACTGTTTGAACACAATACCGGCTTACTTGCATACTTCTGGTAAATAAAACATGTAGATAGGTATATATAACATATGTAAATAGTGTAATAAAAACAATAACAGTATGGTGGGAGGAGGAATGTTGGCGAGTAAGATGTTGGAGTGAGGGAGAGCCTGTCTGGATGTGGCTGCTCACACTCGCAATGTTCTGAATGTGTTGATGGTAAATGTATATAGTGTGTGACAGTGTATAGTGTGTACATATGTTGTAAATATACATAAATGAACATGAAACATTGGTGTGAATAACTGTATGATGGGAGGAGCAATGTTGGCGAGTAAGATGTTGGAGGAGTGAGGTAGGGCTGGCTGGGTGTGGCAGCTCACACTCGCGGTGTTCTGAATGTGTTGATGGTGAATGTATATAGTGTGTGACAGTGTATAGTCTGTAAATAGATTGTATATATACATAAATTAGCATGATACATGGTAAATATGTGCAACATGTGTACACAAGTGTCATGCACGTAACAATGTCCTCGGACAGTACGGATGTTTTACTGCCATAATATAGTGACGTGTTCATTATACATAGGATTAGCACGTAAAAACAAATAAAATGTATTTGGAACTGTGCGCAAAAAATGAACAAAAAATATATTTGCGGCAACTTGCACGCCCTGCCCCGGGCGCCCTACTGGCCCCGGGAACGTACGTCACGGGCGAACGGGGAATGATGACATCATGCGCCAACTAACGGACCCCATAGCAGCCAAAGTAAGTACAATTTCAAATTGTTTTTGACATACCCATACTGAGGGAAGGGTTTTTGACACTTTAAAAAACAAAAGAATTTTTTTCAAGAGAATTTATTTCCTGCGCACTGAGGGGGTCATATTTGGAGGCGGCGCAGTTAAAGGGTTAAAACTCAACTGGTAGGATGATATTCATATTTACTTTTATACATGCTTGGAAATCAGAGAAGAAGTGTTCTGGGAGCTGTGTACAAATATCTCTGAACATTTACTTACAACAGTAATGAAACAGTCAAGTAACTCATTAAAAAAACATCGTTGAATGTAATGAAATACCGATTTCTGCGTGAGCCCCGGAGGGTCCCTGAAGCTATACACTGAAATGGTTCCCATTTGTCAGGTCACGTCAGCCGAGAAGCTCTTAGGCCTACCAGGGACAAGAGCAAGAAACTGGCCTACCCCTCCCCTCATACAGGTGTAGAGAATGGTGATATTTTGCAACCTTGCTGGGAAAGGCATCCAGAAAATTAGCAAGTGAAAAAAATCACTGCTGAGTTAAAAAAGAGACTGAAGCCTCAAAACCCATCTAATGAACTCCTCGAACTATATACAGCCCATCTTCGCATACAAAGATCCAAGCTCATTAATCTAGCTGTCAAACCCCCATGTTTATGAATGAAAAGCGGTTTATATACAATTCTCAACTGGATATCCGAACACTTCCGGAACAAGTGTTTCGCTTGCGTCCTCTATTTGAACCACAATTCTATAAGTGCTTCATCCATATACTTCAAATACAAATAATTGCCAACAGAACCTAAACACCTTGCCTAACCTAACCTATGCCTAATTTTACATAGAATTTTTATGTACAAGAATATTAATTTATATTTCAGAACAAACCAGTTTTAAATAAACTGTATGTTAAAATTGATGGATGCATCTGGGAATAACGGCCGCTGCTTTAAACAGCCTTGTGTGAGGACAGGTTGCTATATAAACAAATGATGATAAACAAATCTCATAAATCTTGAGAGAGCTCATTTGCCCCATCTTCCCAACTCATTTGGATGGAAGGTGCTTACAATCTCCAGGGGTCTGAACTAACAGTTCTGGAGCAGATGCACAAATAAAACCTACCCAACGACCTGAAAGGGAGGGCAAATTTGGGAGCCACCGAGGCTCATCCAGAAATTGAATGTACGAATGAAGGTAACTGCAAAAGGCATATTGACCCATACAAGGCATCTCCTATTTATATCCACCCAATCTCATTCATATATATGTCTAACCTACACTTGAAACAATCAAGGGTTTCTACTTCACTAAGTTACGCTGTAAGCTGTTCCACAAATGAACGACTCTGTTACAGAACCAGTATTTACTCATCCTAAATCTAAACCTATTCAATTTATACCCCATTGTTTCGTGTTCTAATTTGTGTTGATACTTTTAATACCCTATTAATATCCCCTTGGTTATGCCCATTCATCGACTTGTACACCTCTATTTATGTCACCCCTAATTCTTGGCCTTTCTTGATAATGTAAATTAAGCTTTGTCAATCTCTTTTTATATGACAGGTTTCTAATTTGCAGAATTAACTTTGTCATCCTACGCTGGACATGTTCTAGTGCATTTATATCCATTCCATAGTATGGCGACCAAAACTGAACTGCATAATCTAGGCATAACAAGAGCAAGATATAACTGAAGAATAACAACAGGTGTTATATTACTAATGCTTCAAGAAATAAATGCCAGTATCCTATTTGCCTTATAACGAACATTTATGCATTGATTTTCTGGGGGGGGGGAACCCCTTCGGCTCCCCGGAGCTATCCAGGCTGATATGAACAGTGGTACCTCAGAATACGAGTGTCCCTGTATACGAGTATTTCTTAATACGAGCAGGATTTGCTCAGAAAATGTGCCTCGAAAGGCGAGGGTTACCTCGGAAGGCAAGTGTGTTCATATGCGTACAGGCCGACCTAGCATGTGGTGGTACGGCGATCGTCGCCCCTCACCCCTCAGTTTACCAGTGCCTCGCGCCCAGTGACAATCCCGCGTCAATTCTTCACTAGGAATTTCAGTGTTTTGTTGGATTTTTGGTCATTTGACCATAAAAGTTGTTATTATATATCTCACCATGGGTCCCAAGAAAGCCAGTGGTAAGGATCAAGGCAAGAAAGGCCATGTGAGGATGACAATAGAGGAAAAACAAGAGATCATTCAGAAGCATGAAAATGGTACACGTGTTATTGAACTTTGTAGGCAGTACAACAAAGCCACGTCAACGATATGCACTATACTTAGCAAGAAAAAGGACATTATGAGTGCTAAAGTGGCAAAAAGCTTAAGAACAATCACAAAACAAAGACCACAAATACTTGAAGTGGAAAAGTTGTTATTAATTTGGATACACAACAAGGAGTTAGTGGTTGATAGTGTTTCGGAGGCCATCATTTGTGAGAAAGTCAGGGTATTGCACGAAGACCTTTGTGACGATAATCTCCTTCAAGAGATTGAGCCTGCTCTTCCCTCCATAATTACGTCTTCACAATTATATAAAAAGACTATGGAAGAAATGTCCAACAACGACAACAACACCAGCAAGGCTTGCCAGGGTGAGCAAAACGTATGCAGCCAGCCACCTGTCCGAACTCCAACCACCAAACTACCCGTTGATCGCTACGACTCCGCTGATTGGTCGCCGGTCTGGCTGCACCTGCCTCGCCCCCCCCCAATACTACCTGATGTCTGGGGTCGCCCCAACATCAGTCCTCAGAATGTTCAGTGCTTTCGTGGCCATCACACCTCCCAGCTAGACTCTAGCGTGTACTGAGAGAGGTGGTGGCTTTAAGCCAATATTCCAGCACCTCCCACTTAACTTTTGTATTGCACTTGTTATTTTACCTTAACGTAACTTTTCATTGTGTCATTTAAGTATTCTTATTATTTTGATTGATTGATTTTATTATAAGAATTTGTTTGTGCATTATTTTCATGTTTTGATTTATTTAACGTAATTAAAATTTCATTGTTAAAGTTTTACTTGTGTTTTGTGTGTCTTCTCCTTACCTTACCACAGACG